ATGTGAAAAGTGCTAGTCACTATGAAGAAAATGTGAAACAAGTGTGATTCTAACATACCTAGAATTAAGACATACTTAACATAATTATAAATACTTGATGCAGAGATAAATCATGGTTCCATTTCAATTATATAGAAGCAAATAGTCCCTAGTTTACCATCAAAATTGTTAAATCCCTAAAAACTCCCTGGTTCTTCTTTTTATTTCTGGCATCTCAGATGTTAAGGGGTTTGCCATTTTTCTACCTTCTTGATCCTCTCTTTTATTATCTTTTTTCTCTGAATATGAAATACATGTTTTAAATTATTAATGGCTTTTAAATAGAATCATCATCCACCAATTTGGAAGGTTTCAGAGCATCACAAGAGTAAGCTTTAACAGAACTGACTGCCATCATGCCCAGGCTCACAGCACAAGGATGAGTACAGATGCCCCAGCACCAGTGAGTTCTGTGGTCCCTGCTATGTGTGTCCCAAACAGGGATTGTACAAGAATGATTTTGGTTTCTGCCAATCTCAGAAAATTTTGTTGCAGTTATACAGTAAATCTGGAAAATTCTAAATTCATGTGATTAGAAGATTACTCTTGTGGTCTATCAGAAATCCAACATTCAGGCTTTCTTGACCATGTAGAGAATCAAAGCTTACTCATTCCATTTTCACAGCAGTTATCACTTTTAGCCAAAACGAAGCTCTGAAAACAGGAGACATTTCCGATATTCTATCCTAGGGCTGCACAGCATATTGACAAGGTGCATGATAGTCTTCATTAGCTGAAAATTTATTTATGGTGTGGTGACTATTAGGTGCATAGAAAAATGTAGTTGGCTTAAAATGTATCACACTGTACAAACTGGCCTTCTGATATGTGATCATTTATATAAAGTGAAATATGTATTTGTCAACCAGTAAAGATCTTAGGAATCTTGTATCCAAGATGAACGAACGTAGGCATAAAATAGCGACCAACCATTCCATGACAGGATATATCAGTTATGTGGAGCCAAGCACTGGAAGATCTGGGCTCACAGTCCCCCCCTCTCCTCCACTACTTCTGTGACCTTGTTTGTATCCTTCACCACCTTAGTTTCCTTGTTTGAAAAAAATGGGGGTGTTGCCTCCTATTCTGGTGGCTTGTTGTGAATTTTGTTTGTTATTTGTTTCTACTCTATCTCATCCTACAATGGATTAAAATAAATAAGTAAATAAATACACACACACACACACACACGAAGATAAAATAAAATGCAATTGCCAGTGCTTTGTAGATTTTATATATAAGCCACCAACCATCACTATTGAAATCATTTCTGGGAAGGTCTATCTGTTAAAGTGCTTCTAAGCAGATGTTCCAGACACTTTTGTTTACCAAATAAAACATGTATCCACGTGTGACATAGACCAGTTAGAGGTGACAATTTAAAATATGCCTGGATGACAAGATCATTCAGGACCTTTTTTGAGCCCTGGGGATCAAACCCTCACCCATGCTAGGCGAGGGGGGAGTGCCAGGGAGTCACCCCCCACCCCAGTATTCCAGAACTTTTTGATTGAGGACCCCTTTGCAACGGAACAGAAATATCAGATCCCCACACTTACTGTGTTAATTGGAAAGAACATTATAATGACAATAGCTCTTAAGGATTAAGTAACTCTCAGGGAATTTGCTTTTTGTTAATCATAACAAACACTTGAGAAAGAGTGGAATTCACAGGTGTGTCGTTTTTATTCAGCGCAAGGCAGGGCCTTTGTTGCATTTCGGGTTGGTGGATGCTCAGTAACACAGAAGCTTTGAAATATCAGTGGCCTGCCGCTTCCTTCCTCTAATTCCTCTTATTATCCTGTGCCATTTGCCTTAATCTTGGGTTACTAACCACGCTTATCTGCCCTCTCATCTAAAGCCTTCAGAAAGATTCTCTGGCATGGCCTAATAGCTTTTTATCAGCTCACCCAGTGGCTCTTTGATGCTCCAAACCCAGGAGTTAGCCACGTGGCACTGAGCCCTTCTGAGCGCGCCAGTCGCTCTCCTCCGTAAATGACTGCTGTTTTGTGCCAAGGCAGCCACAAGAATGTGCCACCCCTTCCCTCTCCAATTGAGATAGAACCCAAGGACGGAGTCTGTGGCTGTTTAGCCCCCCCGCTTTCCGATGCCTATGGTTTCATATTTTCTCATTAGAGAGAATCACTAGTTATGTCGTTCACTGCCACAAGATTACACAGCTGCTCTCCCTGGTCTCAAATTTTAAGCTCTTGTGATTTCTCCCTACACCCCCCACACCTATCTTGTATATGTGGCTGACAGTAAAATTGTTAATCATCTATTTGGGCTTATTTGACAAGCATGCTTACTTTTCTTCCTTTCATATAAAAACTTGTCTAGGGAAATTTATTAATGAACTTGTTTCCTTTTAAATAATAAATAATGACTTACTTGCTAAGCAGTGAAACTATTTGAAATATTTCACTTTTACATTACAGTTCATGTGATACAGAAAAATGGTAAAAATCACAGAACATGTGTTTTTTTCCTCCTTTAGAGTACATCAAACTGCACTGTCAGTGAATTCATGAAAAGTACAGTCTTGATAAAATCTTTTAATAAACTTCATATTAAATAGCTATGATTTCCCTGAAAATTAATAAACTTTAGGGACAAACACATGAGAAACAACAAATGCACAGTAGTGGTTAAAATGCTCTGATTTCAAGGTAAGGTAAACACACAGGTGAATTCTGTGTTTCCATTTACCTGTTATGTATTCTTGAATAGTTATTTAAACTCTCAAAGACTCCATTTCCTCTCATATAAGGTGGTGCTGATGCTCTTGACAGTCACACAGGATTTTCCCAGGATGCAATGGGGCCAATATGCAAAATGTTGGGCACAGGCCTGTCTAACGGCTGCAACTGCTGCCACTATTTTTGTTAAAAACAAATTGAGAAAAAAGGAAAGTCAACCTAGAAGAAATTTCTAGGATGCCTTCTGCTATGATCAGTTTAGAAAATCACTTTCAGAGAGATCATAGCATCTAGGCAGAGAGGCAGGAAGACTGACTTGGATGAGCTGGGATGGGAGGCTCCGTTCTATGCTGGGCATGGTGGGGTGGGAGGATACAGTATAAAACTGCAGACTTATTTCTTTCTGTCATTTTGCAGCATCATGTGATGCAAGAGTACTACCTGTCCTGGACATGTTAGGTTACTTCTCTGCTCTTAACAACATCACCTCCTTTTTTTTTTTTTAAATTAATGGAAACTTTACATACCTTGATGGAATGCTTGCAAAGAATAGAGAATTAGTTTCTCTACTGCTCTCCTTCCTGTCTCTCTCCTACATAGAAAGCATTTACTCCCCATTTGGGACAATGATAAAAGCTAAATGGATTCAAGTTTAAGATAATACAGTGAGGGATGAAAAGGCTGTGTATGTACCTTCCTGTTCTCCTTCCTGCCCTTTTGCATTTACATACAGCCTTTCTTTCAAAAAAAAAAAAAACAAACAGAATTCATCTTTAATTTGCCTTTATGTCATTCACCCCCTTGTATTTCATTGGCTTGGTGATTTTCTTGCTTAGATGTAGCATTTATCAATCACAACTAACAAAGCATGTGGTGGTGTTAACAGGAAATTCCACAGGACCCTCCGTGCACGGGGGAATGGGAACATCTGCTACTCGAAAGTTAGGATGCCAGGATTTGGAGGTCAATGTGTTTCCCCATCAAGGCTTAAGGCTTTGGGGATCAGGGGAAGTGTCAGACTCCAAGCAGCATAATGAATGGTAGCTGCTGACTGGCTAGGTTTGCCTGCTCTCAACAGGGGATATTGCTATTCGACATAATGAGCTGAGACTTAGTGTGCTAAACACACCCAGCTTGGACAGCGAGGCCGGCTGTGCTATTCTTCCTCCTGGTTCTGAACTGCATTTTCATCTTGGAAGAAATTATATTGAGGTCTTCATTAGTGGCACCCAGCAGGGTGAAGACTCTATGAGGGCTGATAAGCACTACGGCTAAAAAAATGATCAGCTTTGTGTGAGGAGTTGAAGGTTCAAGTTGCCTGAACTGGAAAGAGTCTGAAGAGGCGATTATGTTAAGCAAGTAATGTGTATCGGTAACAGGGAATCAAATTATTAGGGTCAGTAACTTCCTGGCTTTCCCAGTGCATTAAATGAAGACATAATATTACATTTGTGCTGGGTACTTCTTGATGCCATACAGTGTCAGCACTGTCCAGTCGTCCGTACTTCACAGCATGTCACCTCTAATTTCATGGGATTATCTGCACTGTGGCTTTATTAGATGCTCATGATCTCCAGCTTCCTTTGAACTCACAGCAGGGCAGTGCAAAGTCATTATCACGAACACTTCTATGCTTCTTGTGTTACATACAAAATTATTATTGCCATCACTTAGAAAGGTAGATACATCCCACTCTCCTGTTTCCAAAAGTCTGCACTTATTTGTTGACAGGAGAAGCTACTGGAAGGGAAACTGCTCCATGTGAAATGTGTTTTTGAGGATGTTTTAGAAAGGCTATCGGTGCATCCGTATTAGAAAGGTATATAGCACAGTGGGCCTCAAGGTGTGTTCCCCAGGTCAGCAGCACTGCACTCTTCCAGCAACTTGCAAAAATGCTAATCCTATCCAATTAGAAACGCTGGGGTGGGGGCCTCAGGTTTAACAAGCCTTCCAGGTGATTCCGGTGCATGCTCAAATTCAAGAAACACGGCTGTCACCTTTATGAAGTGAAAGAACAAGACAGATCCACAGGTTCCAGGGGCATAGCAGTAGATGAGACAGAAACCTGCCCCCATGGACCTTATTAAATTACAAAGGAATATGCGGTACTTGATCCTGATGAAATGTTTATAATACCCCAACAGAGCTTGTAATTATCACAGCTACCATTATATTCTTCATCTGAACTAGTCTGTTGCCTTCTTTGGTGGTAGAGATGACTAACAATAGATAACTGATGAGTGATTCCTTTGTGCATTTCAGAACCATCCCCCTTGCTATATGTATATCCATGGTCATCGTCACTGTTGGCTACGTGCTAACCAATGTGGCCTACTTTACCACCATTAGCGCTGATGAACTGTTGCTTTCCAATGCAGTGGCAGTGGTAAGTCCAAGTTGAAAAAATGCCAATTCGAATTTAGGTTAATGAGTTGATGCAATTTTATAGTAGTTCCCTGCAGGAGGAAGTGTTTTGAAATTCGGTAATCTTTTCTCGACCTGAATGATAATGAATATTTTAAAAATGTAGAGCATATCTTAGCATATTCCATTTAACTGATACGGCTACGATCCTATATGATTTCTTTTTTTATTTTTAATTCCTTATAAAACATTTCCACGTATGCCTGCTTGAAAACCTGTCAGGGCTTTTTGAGTGGAAGGTATGATTCTTCCAATGATCCTTTAAGAATAAGTGGAGAGTTACTGAATCTAAATAAATGCTTTTTATTTTTGGTATGCAAATTGCATTCATTCTGTACTCTTTCCTGTTTGTAAACTTCCCAAATGCTGACTTAAAATCCTTTCCCCAAAGTATCACTTAAGAATGTTCAGGTGGACCATGCATATGCATATTTGTTTGTTGTGGTCTATCCTTTGAATACTAGTCTTGGGATATTAATAAATTTGGGAAATATGAGGTGATTAAAAGTTAAACAGATGTTGTTGCTATAGTACTCTTCCGAATATTAAAGATGCTAATGTGCATTCTAACTCCCTAAGAAGTGGATACACATAATTTTACATTTTCTGAAATTTATTTGACACCAGGACCAGATTTTGGCCCCGAAGTGTTATAGCACTTTTATTCTGTGACACATACTTTAATTTTGCATAACAATTTAGCTTGTAAGGGAGCATCCACTCATGACCTCCTAACAATGAAGGGTAAAAAATTAACTTTCCATCCCTGAATGTCAGTTCCTTTTAAAATAGTCAGTATTACCTCATATCAGCAACATCCACAGGGAATAAATTATCTCATCTTGTGTGAACCTATGTGTGAGTTCACGGTGTGCAAAAGACTTTTTTCCACTGCTGCACCTATCAGACAATCAAATGTACAAAGCTTATTGATCTTGGGTCAGTCATGTCCTCCTTCCAGACCAAGGGCAGCACTTATTTGGGGGACATAATGTGGCCCATTAATTACATAGCACTGGCCGCATCAAGGACAACTAAAGAATCCAATATCTTTTTTTGGGGGGGGGCGGGGGATGCATCTTTCATGAAACTTTGCAGTGCTTCATACAAGGAAACTTGAGCATTTTATCTTGTATACTTTCTGGGGCTTGTCAGGACTTGTATTTTTGTTCTCAACTTTTTAGAGGAAACCACAGAAGGAAGTGGCAGATACCTACCTGAAGGGGAGGAAGTGGCTCCATAAACAGGTTCAGCTACTATGAATTTTCTAGGAAAAAGATTGTTCAGACGGGCTCATATACTTAAAGTAAATGGTCAAGCCATTGATTGTTTTACTTATCCCCTCGCCGTGGGATCTGTATGTGAAACAGACATCCATAACATTTCTCAATGTGTACCTGCCCTTCACTGCAAAGATGTGTGGCTTTCCAGGCTAGAGAGAAGGAACCCTGCAGAAGGATTTCTGTCCCTCAAAGTAGAGAGCTTCTGAATTGAGCTTTTTCCACTTCTCAGCGTCACAGCTGATAGACATCATGGTTGATAGAGAGTCAGTCAATGGATCGCTGCTCCTGGAAGGTAGAGAGAAGGTGCTTGTTTGGACCTTTGCTCACGGTTTTGCAACATGCGACACCAGGGGACCTGCTTCTGATTATTGTCTACGGGCTGAGTCTGACCCTCACCCAAAAAGAAGGATTATAACACACACACACACACACACACGTATCGCCAGGCTAATAGAAAGTCAGAGAGCAAGTTCGGCCTAAATGGTTTCATTTTATTCCACTTTCTGAAAAAGCATTAATTTGCCTCCCTTCTCTCTTCTCACCAGACCTTTTCTGAGCGGCTCCTGGGAAATTTCTCATTAGCAGTTCCCATCTTCGTTGCCCTCTCCTGCTTCGGCTCTATGAATGGGGGTGTGTTTGCTGTCTCCAGGTGAGCGAGTTCACATATTTCCAGAAACACATTTCTGTTTTCGAGATTGGATGTGATAAGGATAACTTTGAAAAGAAAAGCCACCCTGCCTCCAAACCAGTCGTTTTTAAAGGGACAGGCGAAGTTTGCAGTTGGTGCCAATCTGCACAGCACGTTTTATTCTGCCCATTAGAGGGCGCTGGTTGACCACGCACAGCCTGCTCTGAAGATGGACAGGTGGCATTTTTTTTTTTTTTTATAGTCTATCTGCAGAGCCTAACAACTGCATTTTATTTCTGGTGATAAAATCTGGTGCCTGGAATAAAAGTAAAGTAAGAGACACCAGAAATATCACCACCCCGCCATTGTATCCCTTTCGTTTTGTTTGACGTGAAATCCCCTTTTGTTTCATTGTGATAAGATTAAAACCTGATCAGGTAAATATTGGATGGTGTATGTGTGCGAGTGCACGCGCTGGAGAGTGTGTGTTGAGTTGGAATCTGGAACTACATTCACCTTCCATTGTTTACCTGTAGGGAGAGCTGTGCCGAGTCAGGCACTGCTAGGTTTCTCCTCTAAAAACAATATACCATGTTGGCAGATTTGGTCAAAATTGAATGCACATTTCCTAGGATGTTCTCATTCTTATCTGTCAAGTGAGACCTAAGTAACTGGCCAAGGAGTGTCAACCCCTTGTGTAGGAAAGAGATAGACGTTTTCTCTGGGATTTCTGGATTTTCCATTTGAACTGATCAATTGTACAGTCAAATCCACCTGCATTTTTCTCCCATCAGGTTATTCTATGTTGCGTCTCGAGAGGGTCACCTTCCAGAAATCCTCTCCATGATTCATGTCCGCAAGCACACTCCTCTGCCAGCTGTTATTGTTTTGGTAATGCATATTAACATGTATATCTAGCTAGAACGTCGAAAAACAGGTTAGCGGAGACGAATTCAAACAGACTTTAGCTAGTGCTAAATTGGCTGTATTGTGTATCAGACGGAGTCTGGAAGGCAAGAGATTTTCCAAACCTTCTCTTTACTCAGTATTTCCTATGTGTATTTGATGCATTAGCATTAGCCACATGGCTTCTATTTCACTTCTGTAGAAATTTGTATGGTCTAAGGAAAACAATTAGTCTGTCTCCTCTCATTGACAGAGAACCTCAAAGAAAGGGATATAAAGTTCCAAACACTTACTAAAAGAACGGCTAAAAACCACTGTCCAAAAATACACAGATGTCTCATCATGGTATGAAATGTACACAAAATTATTCAAAGCATTGATGAAATCCTGTTGTGCAATGATTCTCTATTTAAAAGTGAGAAATTTGAGAGCAATCCTGCAAGAAAGAAGAGCCCCCAAACTTAAATTTAAGATGTAGAATTCTCTATGCAGAGAAAAGTGTTTGTGAAATGTGTGATACAAAAGACTGTAAAAGGTGTAAAAGTCCTCAAACACCCATTGGCAATGTTATAGTCGTTTTTACCTATGATTTTGTAACATTTTTCTCAACTGGAATCTGCTGTCAGGAGTACCATAGAATGCACTGAACATTTTTTCCCCCATGCATTTAATTTGTTTCAGAATGTTTCCTTGAAATTTCTCTTTAAAGTACGCACGCTCTCTGTGCGCATTCTGGAAGTTAATGTCACTTGTGGGAACGGAATGTATTATTCTGTGAAGAAGGCTTTGGGTTTAAGCCTCTGCTATCAGTCATGTTGTCCTTGGCGGGTGCAGCCACAGAGACTTGCTATGCTGTTCTGTGCGCTCCATTTTTTCCCGCGGTCTTAAGGGTCACACATGGCAAGCACACAGGGACAGTAAACGTGGAGGAAGAAAAGGTCAACATTTTGCATTCAGGAGACAGCAGATCCACCTAGCAGCGGCTGTGTTTCCAAGGGCTCATCAGAGAGGATTTGCAGAAAGCTTTTCTTTGAATTTTCCAATGGGGCCCAAATTTCGTATTTATTATTGGCTATTTGCTAATCATCTCAATTTCTTTTTTTTTTTTAAAGTTTGAATGGCATCATAGCCTGTCTCCTACTCTTTGAAAACACATTCATTTCTCTCAAATGTAAAGGGAACTAAGATCAAAACAAAGCATCTGTATAAAATTCCACTTGAACTAGGGGCAGTGATAATGGTACTCTCTTCTTAATGTTCCTGGTATAAAGGGGGTGATAAGAGTAGAATATAGAAAAGAGGTTCTTTTGATCATGACGATAGTTTATCAGTATAGATAATGATTTGCCAAAGATGATGATGATGATAATAATAATAATAATAATAATAAGCAATGACATTGTTTGTTATCATTGATGTTCTCATTTAATTCACCAAGCTTGGCTTTTCTCCTTTGTCCCCCCAGCACCCTTTGACAATGATAATGCTCTTCTCTGGAGACCTCTACAGTCTTTTGAATTTCCTCAGTTTTGCCAGGTGGCTTTTTATCGGGCTGGCAGTTGCTGGACTGATTTATCTTCGATACAAACGCCCAGATATGCACCGTCCTTTCAAGGTAACCTCAGCAATCTTGATGGGTTTACATAAATCTTTCTCCTAATACCTAGTCCTCCCTTTGCCATCACTGGATGATGGGGAGGTTGGGCAGGGGCAGTGTCCTGTGGAATAAAATGTTTAACTCTTGCAGGGAGCACCTTCAGAATGGATTTATTTTATATAGGAAAAAAAAAGTAATTTGTCAAATTTTTTCTACGTGACTTTCTGAACTTTGTACGTCTTGGTTTTGAAAAGAGAGAACATTCCTGGATTTTTGTTAAGTTGATTTTTCATGAATGGGTCCGGTGACCTGATGTGTTCAAAGCGTGGATACTTCTGACTTCATGCTAGTTAGTTGTAGATAGCAAAGGCATGGGGCTTATAACCTTATCAACGAAAACTCTCAGGAGGCAGCTTCATACAACAGGCATTTTTAGCATTTATATGTCATAATGTGTTACGTTGCTCAGAATAAAAAGGAAAAGAAACATAAAATACACAGAGAAAGAGAAGATCTGTGCATTTATCATCACCCAATAGAACAACTGATTGCTTTTTAGGAAGGCAGAAGAATAGGCTCGTCATTTCCATCCTTGAGCCTTCATGAGTTGATCCAACCTCACTATTTGCTTTTAAGAAGTAGCACAGATAATGTTGTCAGTCATGGTGTCAGAGTTTGCTTCTAATTATATTCACGGCCTAACTCTGGCAGCATCTTTATTAGCGGTTGAATAGGAGTTGGCCTGTTTCATTCCCATTCGTTCTTGTTGTGCATCTCAACAGAAAATCAATATGCACTGAAAGGCTTTAACACGGAACTAGCTGCCAGCCCTCTCGATGCCACATTAGAGTGGATTCTAATTATACTCATCAAAGAACCAATCTTTCAAAATCAAACATAAGTCATAATGGTGCTTAATTCATGAAATAATTCAAATAGGTCGTCTCTAGTGAAACGCCCTTTTTTATTCTTAGATTTTTGTCTCATCTAAGGGTTTAAGAACCCGTTCATTTGGATTCCAGGGGGTCTGTGTAGCACATTTGCTGCACTGCATGAAAGATCTTGCTTCCAAGTAGGCTGGTGCCAGACCCCTGGTCACATGATGGAAGCTGATCACATGATGGAAGCTGATCACATGACAGACCTGTGCATTCTGACCCCGCCTCCTGACTCTTGCTCCATGTCTGAAGTGACCTTTTCTGTGCTGTGTTCCAGGTGCCGCTCTTCATCCCGGCCCTCTTCTCCTTCACGTGCCTCTTCATGGTTGCCCTTTCCCTCTATTCAGACCCATTCAGTACTGGAATCGGCTTCCTCATCACTCTGACGGGGGTGCCTGCGTATTATCTCTTTATCATATGGGATAAGAAACCCAGGTGGTTTAGAAGAATGTCAGGTAAGAGTTTCCAGCAATTCCTGAACCTCGTGTGACTGTGTTGCAGGAAACCCACGTAGGTGCAGACAACCATGCACGTCTTAAAAATATAAAAAAAAATAAGTGCCAGGATTGCTAGTTGGACTGAGTTAATGTACTTTAATTGGGACCGAGAGAAAAGAAAGCAGGAAGGACATTTAGGGCACAGCCATTGCATCCTTTCAGGGTATTTAGTTTGGGTTGCTCTTATCATTTCTTAGAAGACTGGCTTTTTCAGATAAAATTTTATCATCAGTTCTGTAAACGACCTAATTGCTCTTTTGAATCCCTTAATAACCTCTTTATTTTTCTTCTGGATTGAATGCAGCTTAGTATTTCTGTATCATAACATATAACTCGACCAGTGACATGAGGGTTGCCGGGGAGTAAGGTGGAAGCCTGGGAGTGCATTCAATATCGTGATCATGGCACTACCTTGGTGGGAATGTGAGTCACGGAGGATCATAATGACAGCAAAAACAAAGGGCAGAATAACAGTCACATTTATTCTGTGGTTGCCATGAGTCTGCACATGTATGACATTCAATCCAATACCCGTCTTATGAGGTAGGAAAAATGATCATCCCCATTTGACAGATGTGAGTCACAGCATGGGAGAATTCACACCACTCATTCCAAGTCCCACAGATACAAAGGAGGAGGAGAGCTGGGATTCAAACCCAGGGAGTTCTGGACTTTAGAAAAATCATCAGGGGTGCTGCCAGGATGCATGAGAAAGAGTTGAAGCTAAAGATAGAGAATCAGGGTTGGTGGTTTCTGCGGTAATAATGATGAGAATCAAGGAGACTTGAATCACAGGATGTATCAGCTGGGGAGACAGGGAAGGATATTATGGAGGAAAACCCAGGAGAACCTGGTGACCTGCTACCGTTAGGGTGAAGAAAATATAGTAGACCAGAGGGGAGATGGGTGTCAAAGAGCTCAGTGCTCTGTGGCAAGCCCCTGTGGCAGGAGCTCTGAACAGCTCTTTCCCCTACTTGAACATCTCCATCAGTCCCCAACAAAGTCCTCATAACCTGGGTGGTGTTATTCTCTCCCTGACCAGGAAACCAGGGCTCAGGGAGATGAAAAACTTATTTTGAGGGTACAGATTTTAAGCACAGAGCTAGTATTTGAATCCACATCTGCTAGACTTCCAGGTTCCATACTCTCGTTCTTTATAAATTAGATACCTGGTAGAAGAGAAAGACGGCATCTGGGAGGTATAAAATACAGACAGAGGGGCACTTATATCCTTGGTGGTGAATTTGGTGAATTTAGAGTACATCATCCCCTTTATTTTGTAGGTCTTTGTTTTAATTCACTAAGTTTATCATAATCAATTTTTTTAAAATCCCACTTAAAAGTACAGGGAGATTTCCATTAAAATTGTCAATTGATAATGTGTCCACTAGAAAACAAAACAGAAAGAAAAAAAAAAACCCCTTAATGTCTATGTTGAATTTCCATTGTGTTCAACAAACTCATTTAGAAACTAGTCATTAGGAGTAGAGTTTTACTACAACTTTTGATTAGTTTCAAATTGGCATTTGGTATCTTTAGACCCTATACCACTATTTCTACTTGTATTTTAGCTTCTAGATGGCAACACTGTTCCTAAAGAGGTGTTACAATGCAAGTTCATTTTTTTTAAGTCTAACTCATGTACATTGTTTTTGGGGGCAGGGGTGGGGGCAGGGGTACCAGGGTTTGAACTCAGGGGCCCTTGGCTGCTGAGCCACATCCCCAGCCCCATTTTGTATTTTATTTAGAGACAGGGTCTCACTGAGTTGCTTAGCGTCTTGCTTTTGCTGAGGCTGGCTTTGAACTCAAAATCCTCTTGTCTCAGTTTCCTGAGCTGCTGGGATTATAGGCATGCACCACTGCACCAGGCAGGTGCACCACTTTCTTTACCCCGTATTTAATCTTTGTTTTTTAATTAAGTCATTCTCCTTCTCTGTAGAAGCATTTTAGTTAGGCTTTTCTCTGTTGTAGACACTAACTATAGAACCTATTTGGAAGGGGAAAACCTCTTGTTGAACACTATTCACCATTGGGATCATTTGACTAGTTAGTAACATGTAGGACAGATTGGTGCCCATCACTGTGAGCTCTGTGTCTACAGACAGTTAAAATGCCTGATCTCCACAGAGAGCCAGGAACCTTTAGGAAGAACGACCCCCGGCCCTGGAGTGGAGCTACAATGAGAAAGAGCTCATGAAAGCAAATGTCTTGTCCCACTTAGTGGGCGTTGAATCCCTCCTTTTTTTTTTTTTTTTATTAGTTTCCAAATGGTATTTGGTATCTAATTCTAACAGCTCTTTCCTCTTGCTAACTAACATGTGTGTCCTGTACTATTTCTTTATCAGTTCACACCAAAAAACAATTTTTTATGTTTCATTCTTTGCTGTCTTTCCCTGTTCATGCAGTTTGGAGGGTTTTCCCCGCTCCTATTTTTCTGTCTCTAATGATGTTTTGAACATCTCCAAGGCCGCTGAATTCAGTGTTAGCCATTTGTGAAACTAGCAGCAATGGAGTAGTCCCGGAATGGTTATTTGGTTCTCGAAAATGCCATTAAGTCTTACCAGGGAGAGTGGCCATTCTGCCTTTAAATCGTGATCATGGTAACTCTTTATCTTTATAGCTGCCTTGAAAGAGAGTAGCAAAAAGCAACAATCCTCTGTAATTTTGTTTGATCTTTCTCATAGGCAGAATTCTTATAGTAAAAAATAAAGAAAATTCATAATATTTATTGCTGCAATCGCAAGCATTTTCTTAGCCTTTGGCCAAAACAAAATACATAGAGACACACTAGAGTCCTAAACTGCCAGCCGATCCTTGCCCCCAAAGTGGACTTTTTCTTAGAGAGAAACTCCACTTGAACTTGGAGGCCAATAGAGCCTTTGTTTAGACCAGTTTGTTTAGTGTTTTTGTTTTGGCAAAATTCTTCAGCTTTTATGCTATCTTTTTTTAGTCCTCATATACATGAGACCATTAGCCTGGGAGAATGAAAGTCTATCAAAGCACATCTTTCCTGGACTCTTCCCCTGAAAATGAGAGGTAACTAAACAACCTTCAGAAACCAGTGAAAAGCTGCTTGGTACTGACAGCTGGGGAATGTCCAGAACCCCAGAATCTGAGATTTTCAGAGATCTCATGAATTTTTCTGGCCACAGGATGCCAGTATTGAACCACTTTTTGTATGATAACATTTCCAGGGTGAGAAGAAAACACGCTCTTAAGGGGATAGAGACAGAAAGCTTTTCTCCTGCCATCTGTAGCAGAGTGCTTAATTCTCCTGGTTGGTTGTTTACGTTATTTACTTATTTATAGATATCTGAGCCTCTCACGCAAGGAAAAAGGGGAAGATACCCCACTAACATATGCAAAAGCACAGAGGTAGCAAGACCCAGTGAACAAGGCCAGGGCCTGCAGGAGCTGTTTTACTTGGTTACCTCTATCTATCAGCCAAACCCTGTCACAGGAGAGAGCAAATGGGGTGATTGGAAGCTGGTCCCTCTTACTCAGGGAGAGATATGGAGGGCAGCATTACTTAAACAAAATCTTTGATTGTAAAAAATCATTCTGGGCAACACTAGGAGAAGGACTGTAATCCATCTTTGTGGACTGTGATCTTGTGACTCCGGATTCCTAAAAGCATATGCTGCCCTTTTATAACACCCCTGAAGCTGGATAATGCATGTGCAGACTTTTCAGGTAGACTGCAGCCTAATATTTTCAATTGATGAAGCTTGCCTACATTTCTTAGATCTTCATCATAGAGACAAAATGAGATCATGAATGTGAAAAAGGTTTGGAAGCTTTTTTTTTTTT